TCAACATTCATCGTGGCGGCTGGTATGGCAGCAATTTGGTCGTTTTTGGATGACTTTTTCATCATTTGTTCATCTTCGATAGAAGCATATGCAGGCTCGTTCGATGCAGTTGGACTTTGATTTTGCTGGGTCAAGTTGTTGTGGATGACAGCATACGACACATAAGACTCACCACCGTTTTGAGAGAACAGTTGAACACCCTCCGTTAAGCCACCATCTTCGGGACCTTGGTTATTGTTGGACGACTGTTCTATTGCATCACGTGGCAGACTTGTAGTCTCTCTTAAAAGGGAAAGCACATCAGATTAACAAAACCTATAGYTTTGTGTATAGGGCCAGTTTCTGGCCTCGCCCAAATATCGATTACCAGCCACTTTTTTTACCCCACTCAAGCAGAAGAAACACATGACAATAAGGATCGTGTATAAGGTCATGGCACTGCCTTTTTGCAGTTCACACTTTGTAAATTCTCTCAACTTTTTCTACCAAGATATTCATTTTCTACTGATTTACGACATACTTATTACAGGTTTTAGCTCAGTATCCTTTTAATTCCACCTGCAAGATTACTTTTTTGCAGTTCACATTTGTAAGTTCTCAACTTTCTCTACCAAAGATAGTCATTTTCTACTGATTTGTCTTATTATAAGTTTTAGCTCGGCAGTATCCTTTTAATCTCACCTCCAAGATTACCAGGCACTTTTTGCCCCACACATCAAGGATCAATAAAAGATGATTTTAATGTAATTACCGTTGTTCAGTTAATAATAATTGGATGTAAAAACAAAAATAGAATAAATACGTACGATTTCGGTTTCTCATTATTGTCTCCTGAAAAATGAACAATTGTAATAATTATACTTTAGATTTCCTTAATATTYCTGCTGTTCCAAATGGCCAAGGKCGAAAAGCAATGAAAATTATTCATCAAGGTTATAAAATACATAAATATTGAATTCTTCGTTTGCACGTTACGTCATCGCGGCCATKTTGGTACCATTTAACAAAAGATTATCCATTAGCATYCATTGTTAACGGTACCACAATGGCCGCCATGTTTTTGTCTWTTAACTCTCTTGGGAATGCTTGCAACCCATCAAAGGGGATACTTTTAAGCATGAGMCGGTTTACTGTTATTGATAACGTAACATTTCTCATAATCGTAACTCAATATGCTTTTATTTATTTCAAAATTCATACATTTCAAACGACGTCATATAGCCGCTGCCAYCTTGTTTTGRTTGGAAATATCAACCAAGATGACAGCAATATCTTTTGTTATTTCTTTATTTCTCTTCGAAAAATARWTGCTAGACAAGAATTATGATGYWTCACACTGTATTCTCACRAGTGTGGAACGTATTTTTRAAAATACGATGCCYTCTTTTTTAAGGATTTTTAAAGTACTATTACCTCTGTTCTTCCGCCTTTTCCARTAACACACAAGGAATAGCATACAAACAGACACAGCTAACACAGCTCCAAGAGCAACAGTCACAATTWCCAAAGGAAATGGGYYTGAWYCAGTGCTTCTGGWMTTAGGACTATTTGCATCCCCTAAAACAARGAATGTACATAAATTTCTATGAGGACAAAAGGACAAATCTATGGCATTGGCCGACCAGCCTAARKCAAYGTYAMCAAAGATGGCGGCTATGACATCACATGCACCGGGCAAGAATTTCAAAATCAGTGCTCATTGATTRTCTCAAGTTTGCRCYGAATACTAATGCTTCSAAATAAGGTTARKTTWRGGKWWTT